TCACTAACTTCCTTATACAGCCTAGGACCACCTGCCTCAGATGGTGCCAACCAGAGTGGGCTAGGCCTCCTGCATCATTGATAACTGAGTCAACTCTCCCATAGACATGCCCACAGGCTAACCTGATAAAGACAATGACTCAATTTAGACTTTACTCCGCAGGCGATTCTAGACTGTGTGAAGTTGATAATTAATGCTAACTATGATACGGCACATGAGGCAAGTGGTATGCGCAACCGAGCAGTCCTGGTCAAGATGTGGTCTGGCTGACCATTGTCTCAGTTCTGGTTCTGATAGTTGATCTGGCCAAAGTTGATCTACTACCACTTGAAGTGGTCAGGCTGGTTCTCACAAGATGATAATTTATGCTCCAGGGTATGGCCCTATCTTTAAAGATGATTGCCCTTACCTGGCAGGTGGACCATTCCCTAAGACGTTCCTCTTAAATCCAAAGACACTTGTGAGCCCAAGTGAGTGACGAAGCATTTTAGCAGTGTCTAAGTGCCTGCTACAGGGGCCACCATGGTGTCAAATGTCTCCTCCTGGCTGTGCTCTTGCTCTGCTGTACCCACTCATGTAGTCTGTAAGGGAGACTAGTGGGGTACTTTTCATGCCCTTACCCCTCCGCTTCCTTGGCATTTTGGATCTGAGGAGCTCCACAGCGTATTCTTCCCCGCATTTACCATCATCCCTACCAAGACCACACACTCAGGACCTTCTGAGTAGGTCCTGGATGTATGCCTAACCCCACTCACTGTTCCACGCTCATGCTCCTCCTGCCCCAGGTGGGTGAACTCTGCTCTCTTCCCTAACCCCCAGGCTCACTGAGGCTTCAGCCTCCTCTATCTGGCTCAGTCCCTCACAGGTTAGGCTTAATATAGTCAAGGCTGCAGTCCCAGGACAGATGAGTGTAAGGCAGGTGTGTCTTACAAAGTATTTTAACTAATTTTAAAATTTTGAACACATTGCCAGCATATTAAACTGAAGAGTTTCAGTCCCTCCTCTTGTTCTTAGAGCTATAAACTAGACCTTGCTTCAGAGACTGTGGACACAGCAGTGATCAAACCAACCTTGTCAAAAGAACCTGACACTTGGATAGGCAACTCCATTTTGCACTAATATATAAGTCTCTGCTTCTCCTGAAAATGCAAAGTGAGAGCAGAATGGCCCCTTTCCCTATCTGGCAACAGTAGGGGTATGCCCTAATGCTCCCCTTTCTTCATGTGGGTGACTTGCCATCTCCATAAGACACTTGACCATTTAATTCCATCATGGTCAAGTGTAGGGAGAGATCTTAGGTACCTGTAGCACTGACTACGCCCAAATGGGCATGGCCACAGGTACGTAGAAAGTGTGTGGAATAAAGAGCTAGCCTCTTTTCAGGGCTCTGGCCTGGTCTTGGAAAGCTGCAGAGACTAACCTGGGTTACCAGTTTCTCTGGTAAGTAATTTTTCACAATAAATAGCCAACAATACTCTTCCAGTGTACGGTAATATTTCTTTCTCTGGGGTCATGATCTATTGCAGCAATGTAATACCCAGATTAACATTCCTCCAGTATCAGATATGAATCATGAACAAGCTCTTGGTAGTAGAAAAATATTGTAAGGCACTACCATCTAGGCTGTATATAAACAGAACACGAGTGCCAAACCTACAGAGGAACCAAAAGCCCTACCCTTAAAATGACTAACCTGTCTAGGTAGGGCAAAGGCCTATGACCCCTGAGAAGCTAGAAGTTTTAAAAAAGCTGGCTCAGGTACAGCTAAATGCTGGACATATCAAAGAATCTACTAGTCCTTGGAATTCTCCTATATTTGATATAAAAAAGAAATCTGGTAAATGGAGGATGCTTATAGACACGAGAGCCATCATTAAAGTAATTCAGCCTGTGGGATCTCTACAGCCTGAGATGCCCTTGCCTTCTCTGATACTTAAAGGATAGCCTATTATAGTCATTGATATAAAAGATTGCTTCTTCACTATACCTTTACAATAAAAATAGGGAAAAAATCTACCTTCATGGTGCTTACCTATAACAATTCTCAGCCCATTAAGAGATATCAATCGAAGGTCTTGCAACAGGGATTGTTAAATAGTCTCACCCTGTTCCAATATTTTGTGCAAAAACCTTTGGAAATAATTCACAAGCAATTTCCACAATCCATAACTTGTCATTATATGGATGATATATTGTTGGCTGATTCAAAGGAAGGAGCATTGGAAAAGATGTTTGAGACAGTAAAGGAAATTTTACCTCACTGGGGATTACAGATTGCCCCTGAAAAAATACAAAGAGGAGATTCTATCAGTTATTTAGGTTATAAAACAGATATACAAAAAATCAGACCTCAAAAGTACAGATCAGGAGAGATTGTTACCAGACTCTTGTTGATCTTCGAAAACTAGGAGAAATTTCTCAACTACAGATAATTCTTGGAGTAGAATGAATGATTTGAAACATCTAAAAATGGGCCCCAAAGGGGGATAAGTACTTAAATATTCCATGAATATTATCAACTGAAGTTGAAAAAGAATTAGAACGGGTAGAAAATAGAATACTAGAAGCACACATGAACCGTGTGGATCCAGAACTAGACTGTATTCTGGTTATTTTACCATCTAGAGAATACCCCTCAGGGATTTTGATGCAGAGAGAATATATCATATTACAATTGATATTTCTGTCACATAGACAGAATAAAAAACTAAAGACATATATAGAAAAGATCTCTGATTTGATTTTAAAAGGTAAATTAAGGCTTCATCAACTAACTAGAAGGGACCCAGCAGAAATTGTAGTACCTTTAACTAATGAAGAAATTTTCTCCTCATGGAAGGAGGCTTGCTGTAACTTTTTGGAAACGATTAGCAACAATTATCCCAAAACTGAGAGAATCAAATTCTTAAAGAAAATAATTTGGATCCTTCCACATATTATAAGAAAAACATCAATCTCCAGAGTTCCTACATTCTACACTGATGCAAACAAATCAGGTAAAGCAGGATATAAATCAGGAAATATAAGTAAAGTAGTTTAAAGCCCTCACAACTCTGTACAAAAGGCAGAGTTGTATGCCATTCTCATGCTACGTATGGATTTTACAGAGCGTCTCAATATAGTTACTGACTCTCAATATGCAGAGAGAGTCAATTTACACATTGAGACCACTGAATTTATTCCTGATGATATGGAATTAGCTTCATTGTTTATACAATTACAAGAAACTGTCAGGAATAGGACTCATCCTGTATATATATAACACACATCAGATCCCATACTGGTCTTCCAGGCCCTCTAGCACAAGGCAATGATGAGACTGATTGTTTATTAATAGGAAGTGTGATAGAAGCCTCAGAATTTCATAATTTCATAAAAACACCATGTAAATAGCAAAGGCTTAAAGAAGGATTTTTCCATCACTTGGCAACAAGCAAAGGAAATAGTAAGAAACTGCCCTACCTGTTTATTTTTTAATCAAGTTCCATTACCGACAGGCAGTAATCCCAAAGGTATACATAGGAATGAGGGACCCTGGCCAGACCATTTTGCTTCCATTTTATCTTAGTGTTGTTAGAAGGATTTAATTCTGCTAAGTAATGAATCAAAGGAACTTAGCATGAGAACTAGTACAAATAAGTTCCTCAGTAAATGGTAGATTTTGGGTCCATCCACTTCTGCTAATTCACCCATTATAACATAGTTGGGTTGTAGGCTCTGCTTACCTGGGTTTGGATTTTTACTTTGCTACTCATGAGCTGTGTGATGTTGTGCAGGCCATTTTACTTACCACACTTCATATCTTCCCTAAATTCTGTCTTAAAAGGACAGAATTAACAATGATGAAGGAAAAAAATCTTCCCAGTTTTAACTACTTGTGCAGAGGAGCTCACTGCCTAGTGGAGTCTCCCTCCACATCCAGTGCCAGGAACAGTCTTGGAAGGAAAGTAGAAAGCTGCTACTCGTACAGACAGGGAAACTGAGGCTTGGCTCAACCATATTGAGAATGATTGTGAGAATTGCATGTTGCTGGAGTTTTTCTTGTCCTGCCAAGTCCTGCCGTTTTAGCCCCAGATGAACACATAGAGACACTGTATTAATTATAAAACTATTGGCCGATATCTAGGGCTTCTTATTGGCTAACTCTGTCTTAATTATTAACCCATTTCTATAAATCCATGAATTTCCACGTGGCCTTGGTTTATGGGAGAATGCCCAGAGCTATTACTCCTTTGCAGGCTACATGGAGTCTCCTTGTGGCACCTCTCTGCCTACCTTTCCCAGAATTCTCCTCATCTTGACTATCTTCTTGCCTTGAATGGCCAAACAGTGTTTTATTTATCAACCAATAGGAGAAACATATATACAGAAGAACATCCCTCATCAATAACACAAGACCCTAGTACTCTGGGGTCAAACAAATCAGTGTTACCCAATTCATCAACTGTTGTCTCCATAGGTGCTTGCAGTGAACATGAGATTCTTTTGGACATTCTTCTTCCTTGGCTGCCTGCTTACCCAGAGCCATGTTTCATCACAAGATTTCAGCAATGGATTAGGTAAGCCACCCCATCCTTCTTAAAAGTTCTGTCCAAGGAAACCTCCAAAGGGATGAACTGACATTTCTCCTTACATCTGACCCATCAGAATAACAAGATCTTCCAGTGTCTCTGCAAGCTTCTGGAGGCACTGTACCCTCTCCTAGAGACTTCTTGTCCCTTTGGGACCACATCTTGTCATTCAGATCACTTATTTAGTGTAAACTATTTTCTTTCCATTACTATTTTTTCAGCATAGTCTTCCATTTTTACACCTACTTCGAGGTAGGTCTTTTTAGTCTTCAATTCTAATGATCTAAGTCTCATGAAACTTTGCCCTAAAGAACAAAAGTCTTAGCTCTGGCAGCCCCAATATTGAAGGTCCAGTCACTTGCCACAATATGCTCATTAAAGACATGAACAATGGTGAGCAAAGAAGAAAGAGGATATTTAATTGACACATTTCAAAAGGAACAAATAAAGGGGTTTAGTGATCCCCCAAGTTCATCTTTAGGGCTCTAATTTTAGAGTTCAGTAGAGTAAGACTAGGGCAAGGAGCAAGAGGTCTGCATGATGAAGACTCAGGGTCAAGGCGTGATCTAGTTGGTTATTGTCTCCATCCTGGTTCTCCAGAGTGTTCTGAAGTTGTTATTGGTATCCTTTCTCAAAGAGATTCATCTGGTTCTCACAAGACATCAATCACTTCTGCTCTACCTGTGTCCTCCCACTCATAAACCATTGTTCTCATCTGCATGCAGTCTGTCTGTTTTTTGAGGCTTGCTCTTCCTGGAATCCAAGATGTCTGTCAGTTTAAGACAAAGACCTATCCCTGTGCCTTCAACCTTGCAGGGGAAAGAGCTAAGTTAGGAGGACAGATGATTGACATGTCCAGGAGGCAGAAAGCAGGAGTCTGAACCAAAGTCAAAAGTTCAGATATCAGGTCAGGTTTCTCCATTCTTTTTAGCAAAAGCAGTTCCGAAGTGCCTGTTATAAGAACACAGGTAAGAGGTTAAGCAGCTGCTTGGGGAACACACACCACAGACTTACAGTTTCTGGTCTTATGACCAGCTCTTTACAAACAACTCCTACCTTCCAGGTGTACAACCTGGCCCCCTTATCTCTGAGGAGTTCTCACCTGGACTCACATTTACATTTCAGTCTTAGGTCTAATTCTGATGTAGAGCACAGAAACTTCATCTGCTAGAATAAAAATATATAGTTAGGAAAAATATTGATTTTTGGGAGATAATCTATCCTATCTAGCTCTAAGTTCAGACATCACCTGGGCCTCCTAGGTTGCTAAGGTTAAGATCTAGAAGTAGGAGGATATAGCTCAGTGACAGAAATGAGAGCCTTCCCAACATTCACAAAACACTGGGTTTCATCCCCAGCACTAAAGTAAAAGAATAAAGTGTGTGTGTACAAGAGCATGCCCACATGTGTGCACGTGTGTGTGTGTGTGTGTGTGTGTGTGTGTGTTTGTAAATCAAGATCAAGGAAGGTGTGAGAAACCAAAGCAGTTACTCCCTCTTTTCACTATAGGTGATCCAGTGTGATCATTATATATCTGACTTTTCATTGCCTCCTGGGCTCAGGTGCAACATTGAAACTTGGTTCTCCTTTTGCAAGAAACCTGGCTGCAGGGTATGGCCATAGCTGGCTCTTAGTTAAACACCTAATTTCCTGATCCCAATGGAAGCTTGTATCCCAGGATTCAACCATATGTCTCTGTCTCAGCAGACATAACAAATGGAGTCGGTGATGCATTGAATACAGAACTTCTAAATGATGGTGAAGGTAAATACATTAATCCTGGAGATGGCAGTGAAAAACTGGTTCCTATGACTGTTACTTCATCTATAAAAGTCTCTGAAGTCAATCAGGACATCATGGATGAACTTGATCAACTTAAGATGAATATGAATGCTTCAGACTCCCTGGACATAAGTGACATCACCAATCAAGTATCCTCTGGGCAGTTGGGTCAAAAGAGTATAAGCAGTCCTGGTCACTATGGCCACAAGTGCTGAAGAGAGTCCAGACCTTCAGTGAAGGGTGTCATGAACTTTACAGGTAGTGGCTATGCTTATGATACACATCAAGGTCTGAGGCCGAGTCATCTGGTGGCCCAGGTCATTCTGGAGCAGGATCAACAAATGGTTAGCCTGGGACTGGGTCATCTGGTGATGTGGATCAGTCTGAGCAGTTTTAACACATGGCCCAATTGGTGGTAGGTCATGCTGGTTGTTGTGGTAAAGGTGATATTGGATCAATTTTCTAGAATGTTTGGTCAGCCTTGGAGCAGGACCAGTAAACATCCACTGAGACTTTAGGTAATTTAATGGTTTGGATGGAGAGTCAAGGGATGGGAAATTTGGAGTTGGGGTTTTTGGGATTTAGTCAGTCTGGAACAGGATTAATGAGAGGTCTACCTGGATTTTAGTTCGTCCAGTGGCCATGACCAATCTTGACCATAACCATTCAGTAGTCATGGTTAGTTTGGGCTTAGGGTGTCTTTTGACTCTGATCCCTCTGGCTTTAGGTTCTATAATGATTATATGAAACCTAAGGCAAGGCCATCCTTATGTTAGAAATTAAAGCAAACTACCTTTGGATAAGTTTTATAAGGAGAGTTACAGGCTCATCACCATAAGGAGTCATGATAAGGCCCTGTTGTGGGAGATCATTTTGGAGAGAGATATTATTATGACCATATAGACAGTCATAATTTGATCTTAAAGGGAGAGAAGGCTTTTCCTTCAAAATAACAAGACAAAAGTGTTTTCTGACTATTATAGGTTTTCAAGAGTGGGTGGAAAAATTCTATAATATGTGATCTAAACTGGCCTGTCTATGTGCCAGGGTCTGGAAAGCATTGATAAAAGTAAAGTTATAATTCAAGATTGTCCTTGGTCTTGATATCAGGGTGTGTGGGCAGACTCATGGTTGTGCGAGGAAGAGAACTGAATGTGTATGAGGTTCTGTATGCCCTCTTATGACCTCTGTCTGAAGAGATATGTAGCCTACCACCTTGGATCAAGGCTTGGTGTCCCTAACTGCTGTGTCCTCACTGGGGAAGCACCACCTGAAGGTCTTGCTCACGTGGGGACTCCAGGGGGTTATGCCTACCATCAGCCTACCACAGTTAATTTGAAGGCACTGTAAAGAGGTAAGGACACCTCCTTAACCAATAGCTGTCAACACCTGTCCTCAGCCAAGACATCCTGAGTCAGGAAGGGCTGTTGAGCACGGTTATTCTCAACAACCAGAATCTTGTCACGGAGAGAGAAGAGCTACAGACGCTTCTCATGGGTGGCAGTCTATCATTTGGTATCAAAAATGAACTCCTGGAGGCAGCAGGGACCAAGGCTGTGGAAGGCCTGATTTGCAAGGGCTCCCTGGGTGGTCTTTGTGGCCATGGGAGTCTCTCTGGCATGAATGATGTTCTGAAGAACATGAATTCTGGGAACTTCAATAGCTGGTAAGTTTTATTTCTTTAACAATAAAACAATTCTCTAAAGCATTGATCAGAGAAGATTCTAGGTACCTGAAAGACATCAGTTTGACTCTGTTTAAAAAGTTGGTACTGAGAAATCATCACTTTCTCCTCCAAAGCTGCAGTCACCGCCAAGTGTTTCTCTAACATGGTCCATCCCTTGGGTTTATGTGATCTTGAATGAGCTCTGCTATATTATAAGCCACATCAGCAAAGTATGTTGCAGATGCTCTGACCACTTATCCCTTAGTTATCGTCTGTCCCCTTTGTTACAAGCTAATCCTATAGTTACCAGCTGAGGATTTCAGTATGGTATCTGCATTCTCACTTACCATCTTAATCAACTGCAAAGTCAGTTACTGGCTGATGCTTTCCTGGTCTAGGACTTATAGAATTGGGACTCATAATAGAAATCAAGGTCAAGGAGGGGCCGGCATAGGACAGAAGGAAGGGAAACCACTGTAGCCTGAGTGGAGAGCAAAGGAAACCAAATTGGCTTTTCCACTTTACCTCACTCTTCCTCTTCTGTAGGCTCAATGTCACCCGCTTTGATATTGTCCGGTTGTCATGGAAGGTCTTTGCTTCATCCAGTCTTGAACTTAAACTTCAGACCAAGCTGACTATCAACTTTTCAGGGTGAGCAATATGAGGAATGGTATGGCTTGAATCTGAACTACCCTCTGCAGGTTCTTTCATTGAACTCTGGTGATGTCTTTGGATGCTGTGGAGCTTTAGGAGCCTTGGATGGCTCAAGTGTGTCGTTAGAATAAGGCCTTGGAAGATCATAGCCTGTACTCAAGCTCCAGCTGCCTCAATTTCCTTTTCTGCCATGATGTGAGCAGGTGCCCTTTACCACATGATCCCATTACCATGCCTTCCCTAGCAGATGAATTGAAATGTCTCTGAAATTGTGAGATCAAAATAACCATTTTCTGTCTTAAGCTGTGAAGTAACCAATACGGTGAGTAGAGGAAATTCCTAGAGCTAGTGAGTGGTTTTATTGGTGGTTGGTGATTTTTTTCTTTCAACAGACAAGATGACCTTTTGTTTTTCTTAGCATTTTCCCAAGATCTTGATACTGTCTGCATAAATATAGAGTTTCTTAGGATGGCAGTGATGGCAGGTCAGGAATGGAAATCAATTGATTTTGCTTTTCTGCCACATTCTGAGACTGTGTTGAAACAAACTTGGGGAGAAAATTAAAATACAAAAGAAAACAGCCACCAATCTTACAGCAGAGAGGTATTGGGTGGCTTTTAAGATCTCAGTTGGTGTCTTTTCAGTTTTTCCCACAACCATTCTGAAGGTAACACATGCTCCATACTACATATACACCAGGGCACTTGTGAACTGTCCTGTGGCTGACCATCAGGATTGTTCACTGTGTCACTCTTTTAAACTACACCATGATTGATACAAATAACGAATCTGCCAATACTCTGATTATTAGAAAGTTCATGAGCACAACTCATAGCTTGCTATTTATTTATTTAATCATTTATTTACTTATTTGCTGTGCTGAGTGTTAAACACAGGACCTCACATGTACAAGGCAGGCATTCAATTACTGAGCTACATCACCAACATGTAATGTATAGTCTTTGATAAACATTGTTAAATTATCTTACAGAGACCAGGCAATGGTCTAGGATTTGGGCAGTAGTTCCTTTGAGTGCTCCTCTCAGTCCCTATTGTAGGCTTCTAAGGGAAAAGAGACATTATATACATTTTACCCAACAGTCAGCAGAACCTCAGGGAAATTCGATTAGATTATACATGAAGACAGGGAGAGAGCTCAGTTGGAAAAGTGCCTGTGACACAAGCTTGCACACAGGTGGTTGTGGGCATACTATAACTCCAGGAGGAGATACTAATAGTGGTGACATGCATGAGTTCAACAGAGTTCCAGGTGAACAGGGCAGGCATCAGCCTTTTGCTACCACTTTTTATCTTCGAGCCTTGAGCTGTGAATAAGCATTACCCATGTCAATAATCTGTTTTTTATTGACTTTATATACATATAAGACAAATTAAGAGTATATGTAGGAAATCAGGAATACTTTTTGAAGTATGTGTGTCACTTACCTCTCACCCACAAGTACTTACACCTGTTTGCAAGTTATAGTTAAACCCTTAGAGTGTTTGCAGATATGCATGCATGCAGCTTCTAACAGCCTTCTCTCATGCACCCAGGATGCTTTCGTTTCTCAGTGGCTCCACAGTGGATGTGAATATCGTGGTCCCCTTGGATTTGCACCAGACTGAGCCTGGCCAACTCTCATTTTCTGTGAAGAGCTGCCAGGCAGTATTCACAGGGATCCAAGTGAATTCAGGGTAGGTACAAACCCAGGAGAGCTGGGAACCACTAAACTGGACATGGGGTGGTGCTATGCATAGAACAGTCACCAGTCTCCTTGGGATCTGATCAAGATGCCAGCAAACTAAGCCACTAGTGTTCCCTATTTTTAATGCCCTCCTTCTAGTCAAGCTTCTGTCTCAAGGAGCTTGCGATCCCAAGAAGAAGGGGATTTATTCTGGCCAGAAACACAGACCTCTATGGTAGCACCCATTTGTGGAGAATATTGGGTGCTCCCTTTTCCTAGCTCTCACAGAGAGATCCTGGGTAGGAGCTTTGTTGCATAACTTTTAATGCTGGCCTGACAGTTCCTGATGTGCCTGTTTGAGCTTTATAGGGAAGGAGTT